CGAACCTTTTTGTCAGCATAACTCTTTTGTCTTGACTAAGCTGTACGAAGTCGCTCCTGAATCACTTTCACCTTGTCCGAAGCATCCTGTACCAAATCTGTACCCAAAAGCCTAGCCTCGCCTGGCTCAAACCAACCTACTGGAGATCTACAGCGTCTCCCACATAAAGCCTCATATGGAGCCATTTGAATACTCGACTGATAATTGTTGTTATATGCGAACTCCACGAGTGGCAGAAACTGGTCCCACGAACCCCCCAAAATCAAACCAACCTACTGGAGATCTACAGCGTCTCCCACATAAAGCCTCATATGGAGCCATTTGAATACTCGAATGATAATTGTTGTTATATGCGAACTCCACGAGTGGCAGAAACTGGTCCCACGAACCCCCCAAAATCAATGACACAAGCGCGTAACATGTCCTCCAATATCTGAATAGTGCGCTCGGACTGTCCGTCCATCTGAGGGAGAAAAGTTGTCCTCAACTCAACCTGAGTACCCAACTCTCGCTGCACGGCCCTCCAAAACTCTAATGCAAACTGAGTACCTCTATCTGAAATGATAGAAACTGGGACACCATGCAGGCGAACAATCTCTGGGATATAAATCTCAGCTAACCGCTCTGAAAAATAGGTAGTACACATAGGAATGAAGTGCACGGACTTGGTCAGCCGATCCACAATCACCCAAATATCATCGAGCTTCCTCAAAGTACGTGGGAGTCCAACTACGAAATCCATGATGATCCGCTCCCACTTCTACTCTGGAATCTCTATCTGGTGAAGCAAGCCACCCGGTCTCTGATGCTCATATTTCACCTGTTGACAATTGAGACACCGAGCTACAAATCCTACTATATCTTTCTTCATTCTCCTCCACCAATAGTGCTGTCGCAAATCCTGGTACATCTTCACAGTACCCGAATGGATGGAATACCGCGAGCTATGGACCTCCTTCATAATCAACTCCCGAAGCCCATCCACATTGGGCACACATATCCAGCCTTGCATCTTCAAATACCCCATCGTCACCAATAGTCACATCTTTGGCATCGGCGTGCTGAACTCTGTCCTTGAGGACAAGCAAATGAGGATCATCATACTGGCGCTCTCTGATGCGATCGAACAAGGAAGACCGTGAAACCACACAAGCTAGGATCCGATTGGGCTCCGAAATATCCAACCTCACAAAGCGATTGGCCAAAGCCTAAACATCAACCGCAAGAGGTCTCTCCCCAAGAGGAATAAATGCAAGACTTCCCATACTCACCGTCGTTCTACTCAAGGCATCGGCCACTACATTGGCCTTTCCCAGATGGTACAAGATAGTGATGTCATAGTCTTTTAGCAGCTCCAACCATCTCCGTTGCCTCAAATTGAGATCCTTCTGTTTGAATAAGTGTTGGAGGCTACGATGATTAGTAAACATCTCACAAGATACACCATAGAGATAATGCCTCCAAATCTTCAACGCGTGAACAATGGCACCCCACTCCAAATCATGAACAAGATAGTTCTTCTCATGGGGCTTCAACTGAAGAGAAGCATAAGCAATCACTCTACCCTCCTGCATCAACACACACCCAATGACGATCCGAGAAGCATCGCAATATACCATATAAGAACCTAAAGCTGATGGCAAAACTAACACTGGAGTTGTGGTCAAGGCAGTCTTGAGCTTCTAAAAGCTCGCCTTACACTCGTCCGACCACCTGAAAGGAGCACCCTTTTGGGTCAATTTGGTCAAGGGTTATGCAATAGATGAAAATTCCTGAACGAACCGACGGTAAAAACCCGCCAATCCAAGAAAGCTGCGAATCTCTGTGGCTGGGGACGGTCTGGGCCAACTCTGGACCACCTCTATCTTCTTTGGATCAACCTGAATGCCCTCACTGGACACCACGTGCCCCAAGAATGCCACTGAACTGAGCCAAAACTCACACTTGGAGAACTTAGCATAAAGATTCTCCTCCCTTAACCGCTGCAATACAACTCTCAAATGCTCAGCGTGCTCCTCCTGGCTACGCGAGTAGCCTAGAATATCATCAATGAATAACGATTTGAGATAAAGCTGAAACACGCTGTTCATCAAATGCATGAACGTTGCTGGGGCATTGGTCAGCCCAAAAGACATTACAAGGAACTCATAAAGACCATATCGGGTCCTGAAAGCTATCGTAAGAATGTCTAGGTCCCTAATCTTCAACTAGTAGCACCCTAAACTGAGATCAATCTTGGAGAACACCCTCGCTCCCTGAATCTGGTTAAATAAATCATCAATGCGAGCCAAAGGATACTTGTTCTTGATTGTGACTTTGTTCAACTGCCTGTAATCAATGCACATTCTCATAGTGCCATCCTTCTTCTTCATAAATAGAACACCCGCACCCCAAGGTGACACACTAGACCGAATTAACCTCTTATCAAGGAGTTCCTGAAGCTGCTCCTTCAATTCCTTTAACTCTGCCAGTGCCATACGATACAGTGGAATAGAAATGGGCCGAGTTCCCAGCACTAAATCAATACCGAAGTCAATATCCCTGTCCGGCGGCATGCCCGGCAGGTCTGCAGGAAACACATCCGGAAAATCCCTCACCACCGGGACTGAATCAATAGTAGGAGTCTCTGCACTGACATCTCTCGACAAAGGCCAAATAAGAAAGACAACCCTTCCCAACCATCCACTGGGCCTTCAAGTATGAAATCACTCTACTGAAACATAATCCGACGAACCTCGCCACTCAATCTGTGGCACCCCCGGCATAGCCAACGTCACCGTCTTAACGTGACAGTCTAGGATAGCATGCTCAGAGACAACCAATCCATGCCCAATATCACATCAAAATCAATCATACTAAGAAGCAAAAGGTGTACTCGGGTCTCCAAACACTGTAGTCACTACAATAGACCGATATACGCGGTCCACCACAATAGTATCGCCCACCGAAGTAGATACACGAACGGATGAAACAAGAGACTCGTGGGGAGTATCCAAATAATGAGCAAAATATGATGACGCATATGAAAAAGTGGAACCAGGATCAGCATCCCTGTGGCAAAGTGAGACAATACCTGTGATCACAACATCTGAAGCAATAGCATCTGGTCTGGCTGGGAGTGCATAGAAACAGGCCTGACCACTACCTGATCGACCTCCCCCTCTAGGGCGACCTCTAGCTGACTGTCCTCCACCCCTAGCTGACTGGGGGGTGGTGAAGCAACTGATGCTGAAGTCGATGGCTGACTCCTCTGCTGAGCGGACTCCCATGACGACGAGGACACAGCCTCCACATATGCCCCCAACTCCCTACACTCATAACTAGGGGTGTTCATAGTTCGGTATGGATCGTTTTTCTCTTAAAAGAAAGTAAGAAACCAAACCAAGTAAGTCGATTTTTCAAATATTAGAACCAAACCAATTAAGTCGGTTTTTCTTGATTCGATTTATGTCGGATTTTGTCGTTTTGTTTGGTTTTTTTGGTTATTTGTCGATTTTTTCATAAATATAAGACATACACTACCAAACACATATTCCGACGACCACATTTTTAACGTAACACTATCAAATCAATTGCCCTTTGAGAAATCTACTATTTACCAAGATATATTGATGATAATTGAATCAAATAGTGATGAATAATTTAAGGACTCAATTAAAAATATATTATTTTTAACACGAAATGAATTCTAACTTAACAAAAGAAAACTAACAATCAAACTAGAATGTAAAGATAAAGAATTATACTAAAAGTGCAAACTATTAACATTTACCATTAAGTTTTTGAAACTTTGTATAAAAATATATATATTTATAGGTGTAATAATAAATTTGAAATAGCTACTCCTATAGTCGGTTTGGTTCGAATTTTTTTCGGCTTTTTTCTGATTAAACCCAAAGTCAAACCAAATTTGATCGATTTTAAAAATTCAAAACCAAACAAAAAATTATCGGGTTTTTTGGCCGGTTTGGTTTGGTTTTCAGTTTGGTTCAATTTTTCGGGATTTTATGAACACCCCTACTCATAACAACCCCCTGGTGCTGGTGACGGGGACTGAAGGGAACCCCTAGCACCGGGATGACTAGTAGAAGAACCTGGCATGGAAAAGCCCTGAACTGATTTAGCACGGGATGAACTCTGGGCTGGGAGGGCACTAAGTGATGAATGACCCGGATGAGAACTGTGAGAACCATGGCCCGATGATGCCCCACGGTGAACTGGGCGACCTGACTGAGCATGTCTGAATGGACGGCCGCTGCGGTGCTGGAACTGACCCCTATAAGGAGCACCCCCAAAACTACCAGATCCACGAGGCCTCTTGGCCTCCCTCTCTACTCGCTCATGACGGCGAATTGACACTATGTCCCAAGCAATGTCAACAACTTCCTCAAAAGAAGCACTGGACACCTTCTCTCTAGTCATAAGAATCCGTAGCTGATATGAGAGGCCATCAACGAACCTCCTGATCCTCTCCCTGTCTATGGGAACCAACTAGATAGCATGACGGGCTAACTCAGAGAACCTCATCTCATATTGCGTCACAGTAATATCATCCTGATACAACTGCTCGAACTGCCTGCGCAGCTCCTCTCTGTGAGACTCCAGCAGATACTTCTCCAAAAAGAGAACGGAGAACTGTTGCTAGGTGAGGGGCGCTACACCAACAGGCCTACGCCTCTCATAAGCCTCCCACCAAGTAAAGCCAGCTCCAAAGAATTGAAAGGTAGTGAACGAGACCCCACTGGTCGCCAGAATACCCGCTGTACGAAGAATCCTCTAACACTTGTCCAAGAAACCCTGGGCATCCTTGCCCTCTGTACCACTGAAAGTCGGAGGCTGAAGTCTACCAAACCTCTCCAACCTACGCTGCTCGTCATCAGGCATGACTGGTACCACATAATCCCGAGTAGGTGCAACCGGCTGGGCTGGTGGTTCCTCCGGTGTCTGTAGTCCTGAACAACCTGCTCGGGTGTACGAGCGGCGGGATTCTAAGTGCCTCCCCCGGCCTGGGAAGTAGTTGTTGTAGTAGAAACAGCGACCGCCTGAGCAAGACTGGTGCACACGGTCAGAATCAGGGCTAAGGTCTCCAGAAGACCTGGGATAACAATAGGCACTGCCGGTGCCTGAGCTGGTCCCGCCGGAGCATCCACAACTGGACCTGATCATGAATCGGGGTAGCTGGTGGATCTGTAGGTGCTGCCCTAGCTGCTTTGTGGGCTACACCCCTGCCCCTACCACGGCCTCGACCGCGACCTCGGCCTCTCGCGGCCCCAACTGGTGGTACTGGAGGCCGTCTGTCCTGACCGGTAGAATGTGTCGTCACCATCTGTGAGAGAATATAATAACAAAAGTTTAGTTACCAGAATCAATAGATTCGAACGACAAGAATTTAAGAATGTGAAGTTTTCCTAAAGGTTTTGCAACCTCTCGAAGATAAGTACAGACGTCTCCGTACCGATCCGCGAGACTCTACTAAAACCGCTCATGACCCGTGAGACCTATGTAACCTAGGCTTTGATAACAACTTGTCACGACCCAAACTACCATGTCGTGATGGTGCCTATCGTGATACTAGGCAAGCCGACTCTTCAGCAAAAACAACATGATATTTCATTTTCATAGATAAATTCATGCATTTTATTAATAAACTTCATAATAAAAATCTGAATAATGAAAGTGCGGAAAGAAAAGCCCGACATCAGGGTGTCGCTAGTCATGAGCATCTACTAAACACTGTCCGAAGATACTGAGACTAACATAGTCTGGAAATGTAACTACAAAATAAACTATAGAAAGATAGGAGGGAGAAGAACAGGGCGATCGCCAGCACCTACCTTGCCAACTCCGAGAATAACCTACAGCTGGACTAGTCAATAGCTGCTACCGGGCGCTGATGTGCCTGGATCTGCACAGTGCACACAAGATGCAGGGAGTAACGTGAGTGCGCCAACTCAGTAAGTTACCAAAGTAAATAAAGACTGAGAAGCAGTGATAAGCAATAAAGCATAATAAGTTCCTATCAGGTGTCATACCTCCTTTTTACCCGAGGGGGATATAAGGGAGTTTTTCCAATTTAAGTGACATTATTCGAAATGGGATTATTTATTTAATTGCAGAGTCGTCACTTGGAATAATTTATGGTGTCCCAAGTCTCCGATTTATTTTAAATCCCAAATCGAGGAAATTGACTCTATTTTTGGTCTGCGAACACAGAAGACCGGGTAAGTAATTCTGTTAACCCGAGAGAAGGTGTGAGGCACTCCCGAGTTCCGTAGTTTTAGCATGGTCGCTCAACTATTAATAATTGGCCTAACTATCTGATTAATTATATGTTTTAAACCTATTGTGCATTTTTAACCTTTAACCGCTTTTAATTATTTAAGGAATTATTTCTGAAACAAGTTACGATTGTCGTACACTTGTTTGTTTTTGTACATGTTGTGAATCGTGTCACGTGAACCGTACCCATAATTTACAACATGTGTATTTTATTATTGTTCGAACTTGTGGTCGGATCACATGAAATGTGCACCCGAATTTGGGATTTACGTATCGTGACCATGCCACGGGAACCGTATCCATGGTCACGATGATTTATTAATCGCGCCTAAAGCCAGCTACGATGTTCATCAATGGTTTATTTTTCTAAGGTCTGAGATTGTTGATGCAAGGTCAAATGGTTGTGAAATTCTTTTGTGGAAAAAGTGTATGATTCATCAGTGAAAGTCTATAGATGATCGTAATTAATTACTTAAACTTGAATTGGTGGAAGACATTCAAAAAGGGTGTTGTTCTGCTTTGGATTCTCACATGGGCTTCCCCAATGAGAAAACGGCCCATTTTCATTACTCAATCACAAATAACTCAAAACGGTTGAGGGTTAATATTACGATATTTAGCTATGAATCAAATCTGCATAACCAAACAACATGAACAACTAAAAACATTGATGATTTTATCTAAAACACTTTGTATGGATCATGAATGCCACTATTTGACGTCAATCAACTTCCATAAACACACCAGGACAACTTGTATTATTTTGACACATAATCACGACACAAAACCAGAATCAGTGCACTCCCACAAAACGAATAGATTCTATTCCCTAAGCTAGCTCATGTTTGTGACTTACTTCTGAAAAGAAAACCTAAACTTTCATGATAATCCTTTCTCCATGTCATCTTAAACACAAACCATTAATTCAAAGAATAGTATGTTACCAGAAAACGATTAACTAATCAACAAATATTCAGGCTTCAGCAATTCGAGTTTTAATTCAAATACACAGTAATACCACGGATAACAGAAGAAGAATTCCGAGTAACTTTGAGACCTAAAACATGCTGAATCTATCAAGCTAAATATAAACAAACATAACAGCTCAGTTATTTAATTCTAACAGGGAATTACAGTTTTAAATAGGTACATACCTAAAAGCAGAACAACAGCAAAAGAAATGGACCAAAATAATGGTCTGAGTTCAGCCACCAAACAACCGATTCAACAGCAGAAACAGCTTCAGTCTCGAGTTCTAAACTTCCTTGGATCCCAGAAATCAACTAGAAAAATAACTCCGCAGAAGGTCAGAGTTGTATTCACAGAATCAAATCCCCTTTCGAAGCCTATGAAACTTCAACACCAATCCTGAACAATTATCCCCAAATTCGAAGAGAATATCGTCGAAATTTTGGGGGTTAGGGTTCAATCAATTTTGGAAACACCTTGACGGACTGAAAATCAACTCAAGAGAATGACAGCAATAACGAAGGTAAAGCTGCTGCGTTGTGGTAAGAGAGAGCTGGTCGAAGATGACGAAACTCCAGCGCCGACGCCGACGCGGCTGCCAGGTTCTTTCCAATCCCTCGTTTTTCAGATGTGTATGATTGATTGTGTAAAAAAAAAGTGAATAGGTAACTAAGAGGAGGCGGGCGGATTGGTTTTTTGTTGTGAAGGGGAGGGGGTGCGGCGGCTAATGGGTGAGAGAGGAAGAAGGGTTCTAGGGTTTCTAATTTTGGGGAGGGTTCATCTGATCTCTACTCTAAGGGGTGATGATTAGGTTTTAGGCATTTAAGGGAAATGGGGAAAGGAAAAACGACGTAGTTTTGCCACCATACTACTACGTCATTTCGTTGTTCAAGCCTTAAAGGCATTTGGACCGGGTATTGTATTGGGCTGGGGCATAATGTTGTAAAACTTGGGCTTGAAATAAATGGCCCAGTCCGATGTTAGCTTGGCAGCCCTTTTCTTTCTTTCCCTTCTTTATAATTTGCATTAGCCACTTTAAACTCTAATTTAGTTTAATCTAATTTGTATGGCCAAATTATTTATCTATTTTGCCTAATTAATTAACTAACCTAAGAATGCATTTTTTTGATTTTTAGTTATTTAAATGATGCATTTAGCAATGTAATTAATTCCTAAATGCAAATTAAACCTAAGATGGCCTGAAAGTAAAATGTGACAATTTTATGGTTTTTCTTATGATTTTAAAATATTAAACATGCATGAAATGCAACTAAATAAAAAAAATCTCCTAAAATCTACTAAAATTATTTTTGGTCTATTATTAGGAGTTATTTCCATGCAAGGCAAAATTTAGGTGCTCACAGCTGATGATGGGCTATAATTACGTATTTTAGTCGCTTATTACACTCTAATTTACTGCACTTTAGTTGAGTTTGCGCTTTAATAGCTAGTGTTTTGCACTAATTGTGTGTTTTATGCCTTGTAGGTGTGATTCCAAGCTATATAGATGTTATGAAATGAATTTAAGTGATTTGAAGCTTTGAAGTCTGAGTAAAAGCTCAAGGAATTAAGGCGGAATCGTGTTCGGGGGTCAAATTTGATAGTTGAGAACAAACGAAGACTCGAGTAGGCATATTGCGTACTGTCTAGTAAAATGCACATAACTTTTTGGTTAGCACTCCATTTGGGCTCCACAATATATGGTTGGAAAGCTAACTCAAAGGGCTACAACTTTCATGTTTTACGTTTTTTCAAATTCCAAACGGAACAGGGTGAAAAACGCGGTCGAAACCGCGACCGCGGAACTGACCGCGGCAGAAAATCAGAGAGCTTGTCTGGCCGCGGTCCTACCGCGTTTTGGCCGCGGCCGCGCCGCTCCAGGCGTCAAAAAGAAGTCCTATTTCGTCCGGGACAAGGTTATTTCGGCCCTACACTATTCCAACTTGTATAAAAGGGGTCCTAAACCTATTTTGAAGAGAAGGGGACATATTTTGGACATAGATTCGACCTAAGGAGGCAAGAACACATTGGGAGCAAGGCGGAGAATTCTTCTACGAGTTTTTCCTTCCTCTTCCTATTTTTTATTGTTGGTTATGATTTTTAGTATTGTAGTTTTACATACTATTATGAATAGCTAATTCGTTTTCTAGGGTTTTGATGAAACCTTTTGGGGATGAATTGGTTGTTATATTAATATAGTTTTGAGTTAGTTGTTAATCTCTATTTGTTCAACTACGTTTTGATTTTGGTTAATTGAAAGGATCCTCAATTAGTCGTTCCTATTTATTATGTATCTGCTTGAGAGAGAGTGCATATTTAGGTAGTTGTTTGAACAATATCCACTCCCGGGAGTATAGGCGAGAGTCATAACCGAGGTTTAGAGGTTGGATTAGAGATAACGATACCTCGGGTACGATCTAAGTGAACTGTAAGTGAATCTAGCTAGCGTAGTTGAGAGAGTGCGTCTAGTTAAATTATCATAATTGCTTGAGAGAGATTTTATGATAAAGCCTGGAGAGTTCGATGAATTGATAAGAGGCAACTAAGTCAAATGCTATAAGAAACATACAACTAATGAAATCAACATTTGGGGAATCATAACTCTAGACCTCCTTAATTTAGTTCTCGCAACCTTTGTCTCGTTATTTAATAATTTTACTGTTTTTAGTATTTGTGGTTAATTAGGTTGATATAAAATCTTAATATTATAATTTAGAAATTGTTCAAACTTGTCGTCTTTGCGATACTTGAAACAATTACAGCGCAAACCTTAGTTCTCTGTGGGATTCGACTCCGGTACTTTTAGACCGGGATTATTATTGCCAGCAGCGATCGCCTTATCCTTTTTAGGATAGAGTTTGGGGTGATCAAATTTTTGCGCCGTCGCGCCGGGAAACTAACGGTGTAGTTGTAGTTGTAATATATTGCTAGGGTTCAAAGTTTTGAATTTTTTAGTTTGTTTTTATTTTTTTTTATAACTGTTGATTTGAGAAACATGGCATCTTGGAATTATGGAAATTTAGGTGTAGATAATTCTACTATTGATCTCCATACATATTGTTAAGGAAACCACCCGTGACAAAATTTTCAAAACGTTCCTAAGAGCGAGTTATGTCAACCAACTCAATCTTATTTGTGGAATGTGTGTGATGTGTGTGGTGGTAAAAATGGTCACCTTCATGGTTGTGCTTATATTTCTTATTTTCCCTCAACCCCTTACTATGATGGTTCTACCTTTTCTTGTGAAGTTAATAGGAACAAAGAACCTGGGAATGCGGACCTGAAGGAGATCAAGGATATGCTAAAGTGCCTTCTGGAACAAAACAATGAGAAACAATTGCACGTAGAAAGGCAAGAGGCAACTATTCGCAAGTTGGAGGCTCAATTGAGTCAAGTGGTTGGAGCTTTTAATGCTCAACAAGCCAATATTGAGGATAGTAGCCAAGAAGAGCATGAATTTGAGGTGTTAATTGGGGAGGTCAGAGTAGAACATCAACAACCTAGCCAACTAGAATTTGAGGATATCAATGTTGAAGAAGTAATACTAGAGTCAACCAAGGACGTTGAAGATACAAATTTAGTTGACTCTAATGTGATTGGTGTTGAGGAGGTTAAAAATCTTGAAGTTCATGTATTTGAGCGCGTTAGGCCTCATTCCAAACACTTCTCTACATTATGTTCAGACGGTGAAATGAAAATTCACCTTTATGAGCATAAAAAGGAATCCAAGGAAGAGGTAGATGAGCCTTATATTTTGGATTTCTCAAGGCCGTCTAGGCAAGGTGACACTCCTCGGTCGAGAGCCAACAAGTGTATAAGATTTTATCTAATTTTTGGCTCGCAAGAATTTGTACCGCCCCAAGAGCATAATCATAAGCTTGAAGCAAAACTTGGGGTTCAATTCATAAGCTCGAGGTGGAGGCAAAAAGTGATTCACGTCGTGCCGTGACGTTAAATCAAGCGCTTGTTGGGAGGCAACCCAGCTTTATTCCTTTCTTTTATTTTTTATTTTTATTTTTTTTTAATTGTATTATTTTTGTAGTGTCAATTTTTTATTTTTAGGAGAATGGAAAGCAAAGGTATTGGAAGGATGCAACAGCAAACCAAATGGTTGGAACTAAGTGTGAGGTACCCGCACGAAGGACCAAGCTGGGGAGAAGTCTGAGTACCCCATGAGCTGTAGTGCTTTGGCCTACCAGGGAGTCTCTTTTACCCTTTTATTAGTTATGGTGTGCATTGGGGATAATGAACAATTTTAAGTGTGGGGTGAGGAGATTGTCTGGGTGACTTTCTATGCTATTTTAGTTGTGTTAGTTTAATTAAATAATATTTTTTTTCTAAAAAAAGATTGGACTTTTCCCGACGATGGATCTATTAGACAATTTTCTTGAGGGACTTAAGTCTAAAACAAAAGATTTTTTTTTGTAGGTAGTGTAATAATTCCCCCTTGGTTTTTCTTTGTGCCACGGTTCTTTTCCGGGGGTTTTATTTGAACCGGGTGTAGTTAGTTTTTTTTTTAGGAATAGGAGCCATTGTGTTGTGTTTTGAATTGAAGCAATATCTCTTGACTTTGTTATGCCTTGAGAATAGCGAGTACTTTGGTTGTGACGCTTAGGCTCAGTTTTTGACTCTTGTATAAGTACCTTAAATTGTATGATTTTAAATTTGCTTAACTGCTTTGACTAGAGTGTCTTGATGAATCCAATCCTGAGTGAGTTATGTGTCATGTGTGTGTGAGGTTTGGTGTTATTCTATGCATTGCATTTGATGCCTAGAACTTGCCCCGTGTGTTTGCAAAGCGAAATAGTAGTGTTGTTCAGTCTTGGAAGTGATATAGGCGTTTTCTTGTTGAGCCAGATATGTATATTTTACCCACCTAATTGTTATGTATCATAGTTAACCTCTTTGAGCCTATAATCCTTTTTCTTTGGCAACCACATTACAAGCCTTACCCATTTGTTTGAATTAACCATCTATTTGAACCTTTTCACCTCTCATGAGCACTTGAATTGTTATGAACTTTGTAAAAGTTAAAGTGTGGGGTGGTTAGTTTGGCTTTTGAGTGAAACTAATTGAATAAGGAGAAAGGTGCACTGTTTTGAAAAAGGAAGAGCCACTTGAATTGAAAAAGAAAAAAAAATATATATATATAGTTAGATTGTTGAAAAAAAAATTCTTGATAAGTGGTGGCTCTTGACGTAAGTGTGCTTAAAGAATAATGGGGTAATTTACATTGATGTGAAGGTGAAATTTTGGTTTGACATAAGTATGGGGTTTAAATGTTAAAATATATGTATTAAAGTGCTTAAGGAGGTGTAGTCACTCTTATATCTAAATGTATCCTACCCGTCCCGTAGCCTACATTACAACCAAATAAAGTCCTAATTGATCCAAGATTGAATGAGCTCGATTAGTGGAGTAGTACACTACGGGCAAGCTTATGGTGCATCTTTTGTGGCATATGAATGTTATTTCTGAGAGTGAGTGAATTCTTTCTATCTTGAGTTCCTAAGTGTTCTTAAATTTTATTGTGTGGAACTACTCTCTTGTGTTGTATGAGGGCAATTGAATCATGAAGGAAAGGTAATGTCAGTGACCTCTATGTTAAATTAAGTAGGTGAGTTGTGAATAATGCGTGGTACTTGTGAGTCAAATCTTGAGATGAAGATGTTACACTTTTGTGCTTAGTCTATTTTAAATACTCTTGGTCTGATGAGTTAGGAGAATTGTTTAAAAAGGTCGTGTCTATAAAAAAAAGTGTAGTTTGATTGCTCGAGGACGAGCAATGGTGTAAGTGTGGGGTGTTGATGAT